AAGTCAATTGCTGACAGAATGGCAAACCTGAAGAAATAGCCCTAGCTCGCACCCCATACAAAAAATGGTACTATGGCACACTCATTTAACTTAATTTATTACCCTTTAGGGAGAAAACCCAGACACGCGTTGCGACGGGACCAGGACACACATGAACAGTTAACAGATTTATGCAGCGTGCATTGATTTGTTTATGGCTACTGAAATTTATGGCAAACAGAGTCTCCATAACAAGATGCCATAACTACAGAGTAGGCGGGAATGTGCAGTGAACCAATGTGCTGTTAACCTCTGGATCCTCTTTGTTTGTCTTACTCTCTCTAGATGTCATTCTTCCTTTCTCTTGCTGCCTGCTGAATCTCCCCACAGTTCCGCTCTCTTCTTTTTCCACCCTTTCTTGCTTACGGTTACCGTTTTCCTGTTATTTGTATGGACTTGGTAATGGTCGTCTTATTGGATTCAACAACAGTAGTAGGGAAAACAGAGAGAAAAGGACATTTGTGTATGCGAACGCGGGTATACCCTTAATGAGTTCCATAGAAGTAAATATATCCTAACTGAAGAAAATAGTAAAGTGCGATAAGTCTGCACAATGGATATTGATACCACATTGATTACACATTAAAATGCTTGTATTACAATTTCTTAAATAAAGGCACACATACTCCTCTCCACCTCTATTTCAAGATCATCCACAAAACGGCAAGTACCCCTCCAACCATTCCTCAATTGTAGCTCTCTCTCGCTGCCTCGCTCACTTCACTCCGTTGTTGAAAAGAACAGGCCGCGGCGGCAAACAGCAAACAAAGCACAATGCCAATAAGAGGAGTGACAGGCCACAGGCAGAAATACAGTAAACTGAAAAGCAGTAAATGCTTCAGGCGCCGCAGTTTCAGATGCTCTTATTTATGTCCATATGTATGTATTTGTGCACATATGAATGTATGATATAGTCCCCAGATCGTTCCGTTCTGATATATAAACTGCGTGTAGTCAAGAACTGTATATCAATGTGTAGCAATTGTTTTATGGGTCAAAGATCAAAAATATTCTAGAAAGGGTATACAAGCACTAGCACTCGAACACTCACACACAGTAACACTCGCAGAAAAACTGCACATCGATCATTACCTCAAATAAGAACAACAAAGAGGGACAGGGGAAAAAACTGGGAATGCGACTGCGACGCAACAGCGCTGCTGCCAAGGCAACACAAACTTCATTTCCAAACAACAAAAGCACAGAGAAGAGGGGGTTGTGAAGGTGTTGTTGCAATTGCGCAGTGGGCAAAATGGAGAAAAGGGATCTTGCACCGGCTCAAACCGGATTGCAGTTGTTTCTGCATTCTGCTTGCACTAAAAAAACTTACCAACGACAAAGCTGCACTCTGTACTAACTCCACAAACAAAGGGTTTACGTTAACACACGCACAATTGGCACAATTAAACACAAAATGCACAAGTTAAACTTATTATATGTTTTGTAACGGGAATTATGTGAGCTTTGTGTATGCTTTCGTTGTGATCGCGGCGACGAAAATTGAGCGAATGGGCAAGGAAGAAACGATAAAGCAGAAAGGAAAACTAAAACAGCGGCCGCCAGAGTAGAATGAAGTAGGGTGAAGCTTGCATGCTCAGTGAGAGCGGCAAACGTCACTCTCATCTCTATTCTCTCTTCAAAATATGGGAGAATCCGTTCGAATTATTGAGCTTGGAAGTGGTATAGTCAGAAAACAATTTACATACCGTAGATGTGGTATCTACATATATATTTACAGTGCAAACACTACTGCTATAACATAATAAATTGCAGTGAGAGAGGCTCTTTTGCCATGCCTCACCCTAAATTAATGTACTATGATCGTCAGCTGTTTTTTTTGTTGTTTTCGGGGAAGCTGCGCTGCAGGAACTTTTAGCATTGTTTGACTTTGGCGGTTAAAATTCAAATTCAAATTTAAAAATTTGATTTCAGTTAGACCTCAAACCGGTTCCCAGGGGAACAAAGGGAACATGAGCGAAGGTGTATTTCACTTCCGTTTGAGTTCTTTCCAATTGAATCTCTTTCTTTTTGTTTGTTTTGCTCTTGTGGATGAATGAAATCATCACTTGTGATCCAGCTGTGCGAGCTGTGTCACAACATCAACAAATGATGATAGCAGTTGGAGCTTGAATAGAGTGCTCTTATCAGCACTTTGCAACCTGCAACGGTCAGTCGTAGATAGGTCATAAAACCCAGCAGAAAAGAGTATCTGTCTAGAGATAGTGGGGGGCTAACAAAGTGGAGTGGGATGTGGAGTACATTGAACCCTCAGAGAGATGACACCCACAACCGTAACAAAATGCCAGCCTGATTTCTCACCTACATTGCAATTACCAATTACTACTCGGGGAGGCAGAGACTGAGGCCTGCCTTTCTTTTTTCCTTTATTAGAGGCACACAATAAGGTGGGGTGGGGTGCTGGGTGTTGGGGTTACCACGGTTTAAGTGGTAAGACAAATCAATTTATCCGCCGGCTAGGCTACCTGCTGGGAGATACTCTCATAAAAAGTGAAATTTGATCGAATTGCCGGTAAAACTTGTCCACGCACCGTAGAAATAATGAAAAAACGAGTTCACATGCGTAGACAAACAGACAGAGGAGATTTTCTCCAGAAAACAAGCTTTGAATTTAAATAAAAATTGCTAAACAATTTGCTCCAATTAAATGAGAGTGAGTGGAGGGGTGCATAAAAGGTGCACTTAAAACGCCAACTAAACCAAGAAGCTGGGCTTAAAACGCAAAAAATGTCTTTGCTGAATCAGTAAGGCAACAAAAGAATAAGAATCGACAATAAAATCCATAATTGACTTACCTGCAAGACAGTCGCAGAGGGGCCTGGTGCAGGGGGCACATTAAAAGATCTTACTCCCCGATGTCGTCTGGATATAAGGCCTTTTATGGCAGTGCCGAAGGTCGCCTCCATGACAGAGGCAGGACAATGAAACGGGAAGCAACAGGCTATTTATATGTGGGCGTTAACAACAACAACAACAACAAGAACAGTGCAAATGCTAATTTATATGGACAAATGATCATTATTACGTTTTTACTTACGCTTTTACATTACAGCGTAGTTCACAAAACTCGCACAATAAGCGCCACTGTGCAAGCTACATGTATGTATATGTCGATACATCGATAGAGAATAGACAAAAATACTAAGATAATTAATTTAAAATGCAGGGTGCGTGCAAAAGTCGCTTGATCAAAAATCAAATTCTTCGATGTTGGCCTTCCTTTTCAATCTTATTAGCCAACAAAACTGTCAGCTTACAGACAATTTATTCATCAATCGCTTAAAATTATAGTTTCAGGGCTGAGAGTATTAGCTTGCCAATAACTTTAAACGGAATATGAAACTCGTGAAATATAATTAACCATAAATATGACGGTATATGCTTTGACACTTTTTGGTATATTTTATAAGTCGAATTTATATGTACGGTATATTTTTTTCTATTTCATTCTATTTCTAGTGTTCGTTCGGCAAACAACTCTGTTTTGAGTTCAAAATTGTTAGTAACATTTGTACCTGGTCAATGCGGACTCATCGTTTGCGACCAACCATTTTCGCTGTGGCGATTAAATTTAAAATAAAAATCTATTTTTTTGGCAAACTCGTTTTTGAATTATAAATTTTCAGTAAAATTTTGTTTCTAATATTCAGCATAACATAAAAAACAATTTCGATGTAGAGATTAAATACAAAAAAAAACAATGTACGATATATGTATAATCTTATATTTAATGAATTTCATCGGTCTATTAAATTCCAAACTCCCATACGTATGCTTTTTAATATCCCTAGAGGACGTTCTCTCTTCTCCGTTGGAAATTTTCTCTCTCCTTTGAAGGAATATTTCTCTCTAGCAACATGGTAATTTTCATCGCAACAATGAGCACTTATGTATTTTACCGTTTGCAACATAAATTGTATGGACCAGCAACATGCTGCGAAAAGTTTTGCAGCACTGTTCCCCAATATTTTTCTTGGAATAAGCAACGTTTAGTACCCTTGGAGGGAAGGATGTCCTCGAATTGAGAAAATGCTGGAAATCTTTGGCTCTAATCAATGGAAATACAAGTAAATCTGCGTTGGAGGGATATCTTAACAAGTTTTGCACAATATAGAATCATTAAGCCATTATTATGTTTAGGAGCAGCTTTGAAAACGAAATGTTAATATTAAATAATGGAAACAAGGTACACAAAGGAACTCGGTACTACTCGGTGGCCAGCAACAAAGTGTCAAATAACGTAACAAAACATTCTACAAACGTTGCGTTTAATTATTCGTTTTTTTCTAACCCTTTTAGGGTTATCGCTAATTTGGTAAACAATTAAATAAAAGATGTCATAAAGAGTAGGCCAACCTTGTGGCGAATGTATTGTACAATAGTAGAAAATTGTAGTTCCACGGCTGAGAGTCTTAGTTGGATGACAATATTAAACAGAATCATTGACCGAGACCGATTAACCTTCTGTTGACCAATGGGTGTTTAAGTTCAAACTAAGAAATTGATTAAACTTAAATATTTTTAGAGCAGTTTAGCTGAATGAAACGTAGCCAATTCGAATTTATTCGTAATCGATCCGAGATTAATAGCGTTGCAAACAAATAATTGTTTTAGAGACAGAAATTCGGTCGAAAAGAAAGATCGCTGATGACAGAGGAGTGGGTTCCTTCGAAACAGTCACAATCTCAATGAATTACTTTAAAAATTTGCAGATTATAGAGACCGAGAATGTATATAGTACATACAAAACATATATAAAATTACATTTTTAAAGCTGAGAGTCCTAACCAGCTGGTAATATTAAATTGAACATCAAAATCGAGGAAAATGATTTTAGACTCACGGTATATTTTGAAAATGAAAAAGTATATTTTGGTATATTTTTGATGCCCTCACGGTATATTTTATCGATAATTCCGCCAATCAGTGTACGTGGATGTCACGGCACAACAAAAAAAAAACACGACAAACAAAATAGAAAATTAAACTAAACTAATTAACGCCATGGAAAACCTCAACTAGAGAAGGCAGAGCGGCCTTTGCGGTAGATCAATTAAAGATATATTTTATAGAAAATTGCCGAGCAGGAGGCAGCAGCGGATCGACCCAAATAAATGTGCCCCTGAGTCAGTTTTCCCTCAGAGCTGATAAAACCGTCACAGTGCACAACAAACCAACGAATCGATCCAAGTTCGGACGATTCCCCCTACCTCTCCCCCCTGCCACTGCTAATAATTGATAATGGCACCGACACGCAGACCCAGCGATGGCCTGCTGGCCCGCGTCAATTTCCCATTGTATGCCGTGGATATGCTGACCAGCCGCCACATTCTGGTGGCCGGCGGTGGTGGTTCCAGCAAGACGGGCGTTGCAAATGGCTTTGTAAGTGGTAGCACATAATCTAATCCTCGACTTATGATTGATTTTGCAGGAAATCTATGAGTTGTACCACAATGGCAGCCACTTTTGTGCGGAGGAAGTGCTGCGCCATGAGACGGGCGCGAATGTGGTGATGAATTTCGCGGTGCGGAACAATGGACGTAGGGGCTATCTGTGTGCTGGGCAGGAGGCGCATTGTCAGATGTACTATGTCCAGCCGCGCATCGAAACTGAGGAGGATGGCGACAATAAACCCAATCCCGTGGAGCGGCCCCATGAGAACGGGAATGTTAGGCAGCGAGGAGGTGCAGCTGGAGCGGCAGCCCATTCGGGTGTAGAGTTCATAGCCAATGGCCATAAGCCACCCACCACGGCTGAGGATCTACTTAAGCAGTTCCAGCGCCTGCGCTTCGACATCCAGGCGGCGGATGTGGTGCAAACGGATTTCCTCAAGAGCTCAGAGCCACTGCAGCGGGTGGTGCGCATCAGTGGCAATGGCCGGCTAATGGCCACTGGCGGCACCGATGGAAAGCTGCGCATTTGGGCGTTTCCACAGATGACACTGGGCGCCGAGCTGCCGGCGCATAGCAAGGAAATCGATGACCTGGACTTTAGTCCCGACAGCAAATACATTGCGAGCATTTCCAAGGACTCGCAGGGACTGGTGTGGGACCTGAGCACGGGCAAGCTGCAGCACAAGCTGCAATGGCAAACGCCCGAAGGCGCCAAGTATCTGTTCAAGCGTTGTCGCTATGGCACCGTGGAGGCGCGCAAGGACAACTACCGGCTGTTCACCATCACCAATCCCCTGGGCAAGGTGGGCAAACAGCGGGGATATCTGCAGCACTGGGACTGTGCCAGCGGCAAGCTGCGCCAAGCGGTGGCCATCGATGAGAGTTTATCCTCGCTGGCAGTGCGCGATGATGGCAGATTTGTGGCCGTGGGCACCATGTTCTCGGGCAGCGTATCCATGTACATAGCATTTAGTTTGCAGGTGAGTGAGCGAGCATAGACGTTAGTCCATAAAACAAGATGAAATATTTCTTTTTTTGCAGCGCGTTTTGCACATTCCTCATGCTCACTCAATGTTCGTGACGGGCCTGCAATTTCTGCCCATAACCAATGAGGAGGGTCCACCCATCTCGAGCGATACAGAGGCGGCTGTGCTGTCCATCTCTGTGGACAATAAAGTCTGCATTCATAGTCTGGCCCAAAGGCGTAAGCATAGGAAATCCTTTATACGAATTTGTGGCACATTTTAACACATTTCTCTCTCTCTCTCCATTTTAGGCTCTATTCCTGTCTGGTTGGCCATTGCCTTTATGATTGTCATGATATTCGCCGTGTTTGTGCTTTGCTCCTACATTGGCATCTGATGGGAGGTGGAGATGCCGCATAGTTGGGCGACACGTTAAATCAATTTGCATTATTAGTTTGTAAAGCAAGGTTTAGTTTTTTGTAATAGGCCCCAAGACCCACACCCAAACCCATCCCGTCCCGTCCCGTCCCCTCTCTCTCGTTAATTAATTTAAGTGTATAGTTTTTTGTGCCCCGCTGCCTTATCTCCCACACGAACTGCAATCTTTTTTGCTTAATTATATCATAATTCTCCTTATCTCTCGCTCTGACTCTCCCCCTCACCACACCACTTGGCAGCTCTGCCATAATTGTAAATGATTGTTTTGATTCTAATATTAATTGGTGTTTAGTTGTATGAATCAAACAGGTGAATGAATGGACTGGACTGGTGCCTCGACTGCAGCAGTTCCAGCAGTCAAATTACAACAACTCATGTAAAACTAATTTTTTATAATCGAAATGTTTGTTAACCGAATACAGGTGGAAGGGGACAATCCCCCCCACACATTCTACTGAATGAACGAGCTGTTTGATGGTTTATTGGCTGGAAAAGACAATTGCTTTAAAGGAAATATATTTGAGAATTGTACTAAGACAACGAATTTTGTATATTCTAGTCGGTGCGATTACGCGATGGCTAGCCGCTGAAGGTTTTCTACGATTTGACGAGTATTATGAGACATCTACCGACCAATCCTTCACCAGGGACGATGCTAACAGATTTATATAGCACAAAACCCTGTATGGTTTCTGGGATCGAATCGAATTTTGAAGCAGTCGTTTACGGTCTATTAGACTCCATATTCTGTAATCAAATTTCGTTTGCTTTTTGGATAAGGTGCCGATTAGCCTAGTCAACAATCAATTAACCAAGGTGCTGTCATGGCCGAGCCGCATGCTAAGTGCAGCTTTGTACGCCAAAGAGAAGCGTGCATCCATCGATTGCATAGATAAAGAGAGCGAGGTCGAGTGTTAGAGAGAGCGCAGGAGCGCAGAAGTGTAGAGCTTCAGCAAGGTAAGCATTATTCAAGCATTATATTTTGATGAAGATTCGCAGTTGCGTGAGAAACAGCTCGCTGTGAGGTCTCCAGAGAACTGCTGTGGTTACACTAATCGACACGATGTTGCCGCTTCGATCCAGACTAACTTTTCCTGAAAGAAATGGTTTGATGATAATTTCTTGTTTTTCTATACCAACTTTGTATACCCGGTACTCGAAGAGTAAATATGGTATATTGTATTGTGCACAAAGTGTCCTATTTTAGCAATAACAGCTGCGCAGCGTCTTGGCATGGAATCCACTAAGTCCAGGCATAGCTTTTGGGGAGCTTTGGGCCAGGACTCTTAAATTTGTTCTCAAAGTGATCCTACAGTTGGCTTGGAAGCAGCAAGTGCCTTTTGGATGGCGGACCACAAACTTTCGATTGGTTTCATGTCAGGCGACTGTGCCGGCTACTCTAACACGTTCAGTGTTGGCCCCGAACCGTTCCTTTGCTTTCATGCTTGGGTTATTTACCGGTTGAAAGACCCATTCTAGTGCCATTTCATATTCTGCAAACGGTAGCATCACAGTCTCCATGATATCCACGCACACGTGCTGATCCTTGATGGTTTTTATTCAATATATTGAACCTAATCCATACTAAGAGAAGCAGGCCCATACCATTCAATTAAACCTCTTATTTTTAATGGTTTTCTTTGGTATTAAGTATGATCGAGATCTTTACTTATTACTCATCTGACATTAAAATTTTGCTCCATTATAGGGAGGTCCAATTGGCATGCTCCCTTGCAAACATCATGTGCTTAGTAATATGTTTTTTTGGGCAGCAGGCTTTTAGGCTATGTTGTCTAAGATATATCCAAACTTTCTAGCCCGTCGCTTTCATTTTAAGTTTTTTTTTTAAGCTCGATAGCAGGCTTGAAGGGAACCTTCTTGCTGTCACGAATCAGCCTTTTGACCCTAAAAGGGGTCATAAATCGTTTTCATCCTCGTGTTTTACACTTTTCTTCATAGTTTCATCATTTTATTGAAACATTCTACCAATTGACCAAATTCTCTGTAAGTTTTTACTTCAAATATCGCGCTTCTTCGCATTTCAGAGCTTTCCATGTCTTATCGAAATGATTATTATTAGCTTTTATGATAAAATCAATGAAATATTAGTCAAAACTAATAAATACGTGGTTTATACAAAGTCAATCCCGCGAAATTACGGAGACTCACTTAAAATAGTGCTAATGGTGCTATTATTTGCTTCGCCATATTTGTGGTATTATTTCTTTAAGTAAAAAAAATAAATATAAAGACATAAATTTGAAGAAAGACAACACCTTTTTTGGTAATGGGGAATACTTAACTATATGAAAAAACTAAAAATTTAAACAAATCGAACGGAGCTGCTCGTAGGAGCAACATCTAGGAGAGAAAGGGAAAACAAAATTTCGGAAATAAAAGTACATTTTTGAGCCGAAGTTGCCTTAGCAAAAACTTTCAGTTCGTAAATATAAAGCAAAAGTACCATTAACAGTTATTCGATTCACAAAACAAAAGCAAACAAAACACTGGCTGATAAGCAATACAAGGTGTTGTTGTTATCATGGACGACGACGAAGACGACACAACGGTTTGGAACTGGCAGAGAGTAAAACCAAGAAGCCAAAGGCGATCAAGAGACAAAACCAAGTCTCTCAGCACGCCAAATAACGGAAATGAAGATGAAAACGAAGCACTGGACATGATAACTGAAGGTACCTTAGATGAATCTGCCAAGCCGCCACCTATATGCTTATCTGAAGTCAGTGACATAAAAGGAATGCTAGTTTACCTCGAGAATTCAATTAAAAAAGAGCTTTTCTTTTATAAAGTACAACGCGATGGTCATGTGAGAGTTATGGTAAAGTCTATTGAAGAATACAGGAAACTTCAGAGTTGTTATTAAGAATTGGCTCTTCTCAACGGATATCGACTTAATCAAACAAGATGTGGAGTCCAAAGGTCACGCTGTTAAAAGAGTCATTGAATTTGTTCTACTTAGACATTGAGCCCAACAATAAGAACTTAGATATTTACAAAGTTCAACTCATTGGTAACACAGTTGTTAATATATACCCCGTAAAACCAAAGAAATCGTTCAGTGGTTTCGTTGCCAGGAATTGGGACACACAAAGTCATATTGTGCCAAAACTCACAGATGTGGGAAATTCTCTCTTAACCATCTCAGCAACATTTGCCCAAAAGATAAAGAGCAACCACCTGAGAAACACCAAAGATGACAATAATAAAAATGATCTTGCTGCATCTCAATCATTTGCTCCGTTTAATAAGTCGACCCAAGTTGCTGCAGGACTTAGTACCTCGAACAAGTCTCTAGAAAGAATCGAACAGCTTCTAGAAAAACAATCTCAACTTACCAATAATTTACTTAACATGATAATGTTACTTGTAAATAAGCTATGCAAATAAATCTAAACTAGTAATATGGAATGCCAATGGGCTTTCCAACCATGGAAATGAAATATCTTTATTTTTAAAAACGATTGCCATTGACGTCATGCTTCTTTCAAAAACACACTTCACAAGCAAATCTTTTTTTAGAGTTACTGGATACGACACAGTAAGAGCTGACCATCCATCAGATAGAGCTCATGGAGGTGCTGCAATTATTGGCAAACAAATTTCAAATCATGGACAGTACTAGGGAAACGCTGTGCAGGCTGCCACAATTCAGATAAAATGCATGCACGCAGATGTATCAATAACAGCGATTAATCTCCCACCAAGATTCACAATAAAAGAACTCGATTTTAACAACTTTTTCCAAGGACTGGGAACAAAGTTTATCGTGGGAGGCAACTTCAATGCCAAACATCCATGGTGGGGATCCAGATTGGCTAACCCGAAGGGATCCGAGTTATACAAATGCGTACGAAACAATATAATAACAACTTTGTCAACTGGTGTGCCCACATACTGGCCAACTGATGGTCGAAAAATTCCAGATTTGATTGATTTCGTAGTATTCTCTGGAATCCCACAGTCACACATGCGAGTAATGGAGAGCTTTGACCTTAACTCAGATCATTCTCCAATAATAGCAACTTACAGCACAATAGCCCATATGTTGGAAAAGGTCTATAAAGTCATTACAGCCTCTACAGACATTAACGCATTTAAAAGCTATTTAGACTCAGCTATAAGCCTGGACATTTCGTTAAAAACAGAAGAGGAGATAGACTATGCTGTGGAGCTTTTCACAAATACAATTCATAATGCGAGCTACAGAAACACGAATCATGCTCTTAATCATCAACAACCAAACCAATTGTACCTTTCAACCGAACTTCGACAAAAAATACAAACTAAAAGGAACCTGCGAAGACGCTGGCAAGAAACTCACTACCCTGCTAACAAAAGATTATACAACAAGGCTGCATCTGAGCTTAGACAACTGCTGTCGAACTTACGCAATGAATCTCTAGCTGCGTATCTGAGAAACTTAGACCCTAATTCCAGCAACAATNAGCTTTTCACAAATACAATTCATAATGCGAGCTACAGAAACACGAATCATGCTCTTAATCATCAACAACCAAACCAATTGTACCTTTCAACCGAACTTCGACAAAAAATACAAACTAAAAGGAACCTGCGAAGACGCTCCGTTCTTTGAGTGATGGGACGATTGTTTTCTAATATGTTGTTCCGACGTAGACTCGAATCTGTTGACGACAGCTTGAATGCGTTACTTAGAGATCGACGCATAGACTCTTTGAATCTGGGATTAAGGTCGTTGTTACTTATGTTGGATACCTCCCGATGATTTATGGATTTCTTTGGTCGATTTTCGGTGAAAGGTTCTCAACGGAAATGTGCAGAGATCATTATGATCCTAAAGCCAAACAAAATAGAAACGGAATTGACATCATACCGTCCCATTAGTCTGTTGACAATGTTCTCGAAAGTGTTTGAAAAAATACTATTGAAGAGAATGTTGCCAATTTTGGTCGAACTTTCCATCATTCCTGAATAAACAATTCGGATTCAGGAGAGGTCACGGGACCCCTGAGCAATGTCACAGGGTTTTTAATGATATATCCTCGGCATTTGAAAACAAACGAGAAGGGACGTGTGAGACGCTTTTTACGAGTCACAAATTTTATACCCGGCCCTCAGTACTACATTTTTTCTTCATCTGTCATCTACATCTACAACACTTCTCACGCCAACACGCTCCTTTAGCTCGGCACCCTCCCCTAGAGCCACACACTGCAGAGTCAGGGCAGAGACGCGGCAGAGGCAGAGACGTGTCTGCGCGAAGCAGAGTGTGAATGAGAGAATGTGAAAAAAACAAATATAAGCTGCGGGACGGGGTGGGTTTAGCCACTGCACATTAATTTCTTCATTTTTGGCTATAATAATGATCCAATCGGATCCCATCTGGTTATCTGATAGATATGGTCATTCCCTACGAAATGGCGTTTTTAGTTTTCTTTTATCTTCAAAATTGTAGATTTGGGAAGTTTTCGCCCTTTTGCGGGGGCGGGAGGGGGCGTGGCTCATTTTTTAAATACACTTGTAACGGTGTGAGCATATAGCAGTCTGGATGCAAAATTTGGTGGCTCTAGCTCATATAGTCTCTGAGTACTAGGCGCTCATCAGGATGAACGGACGGACAGACGGACGAACAGACAGACATGGCTCAATCGAGTCGTCTATTGATGCTGATCAATAATATACAGTTGCAAAAGAAATAATAGCACCACTACAACACATTTTGTTCTTAGCTAAAAAAAAAATATATTTACTGTTGCGATTTCCGAAACTTTCCTAAAACGTTGGTTTGGATCCTTGAGGATAAATCGTGTCGGGTAGTGTAATTAGTATAGTGAGCTATTATTATCATTATTTTTATGCTTTCATTGATTTAGTGATCAATTTTTTGGAAATTATTTAAATGCTCAACTTCTCTCCAATGACTGTTTTCGTTCCAATACCATGTCCATGTGGCATTCGACAGATCTTTTTTTTAAACTCATTCTCCTACCACATGACATAACGGAGGTACTAGTAAATACTATAGTCATGCTCCAATTTCAGTTTAGAAATTCTGCAAGATCTCATCTAGATTTGAATTTACCAACATCGCCATGGAATTTTGGTATCTAAAATCGATAAAGCGATAAAGTACAAATATGCGTCCGGAAGAGTGCGCTTGCTGCAAACGCCTTTTACCAATGTCAAGCTAAGTCATTAAAATTCTATTAAGAACACATATAATTAAAATCGAATATATATTTTAATTCAATTGTGGATTGTATATTCTGTACAACTTTACAGTTGATGGCTGTAGATTTTTGAGGAATCCCATCCCCATTCACTTGCTGAATACTTTTGTATTCTTTTTGGCACGAATAATAGTTTGAATCATTCATGTTCGTACTATGTAAGTAGTAAAACACTTTCATATAACAGCAATTCTGCCCGATCCGGATTTCCGTTGATTATCTTGTACAAGTCAGGTCTATGGAACGCTTTCCTAAAATGTAAATAAATTGTATAAAACATATAGACTAATTCTGAACAAGATACAAACAATTGCAGAACATTTCAATGCGATAGTCGTCAATGCAATGAGAGTTACTCTCGTATTTGTCGGTTCTGGTCACAGGACCCAGCAACTTCATTCGTGGCTTGAGCAGGACGCTGGCATCGAAACGCCCCTCACCGCGTCGCACCTTTAGGCGTACCCTTATCTGATAGACGGCTCGTCCCTCGTTATCCTTTGAATCATAGTCCTCTATGTGGCCCTTCTTTGCGGTACGTGTAGCATTCGCAGCCTTTTGCTTTCTGCCGCTTAGATTATAGGCAGCCAACACCTTCAACAACCTCAAGGGCCGACACTGTGGATAGGGTTTGATCAGCTTATTGATGCTATCCACCACGAACTGTGCTGCCTTCTGGACAGAGCCCCGCTTGCGGGAAATCTTGCGCAGCTTGAAACACAGACAAAATTGTCGTGGTATCTGGGCAGTGGTGCAGCTCCTTTCCTCTGGAATTGGCAGAAACAAACTGATGCCGCGTTCGTTGGCCAAATTTAGCGTACGATTCTCCACTTGATCATCGCTCAATTGATCCAAATGGAGCACATCTTTGAGTGTTTTATGCAGATCGAATGTCGTGACGAGACTGTGTGCGTTCCGCTGAAGATTCCCCATGGCCAGGGGAAACCTTTGGCTCATCCATGCAGGATAGAGTGCTATCAGCAATGGCTGCGACATCTCCTCCATGCCCTGAAATGTTTGCGTATATCCATGGCCCTCGCAGTCGGTGCCCTGAAACCTCAGCCCGTGATCGGACATGAGCAGGATGAGGGTGTGATTCATGATGCCCTGCTCCTGCAGCTCCCTCAAAATCCTCACGTAGTGCCCATCCAATGTCTTGGCATAGTTGAAGTAGTCATGAACGCCCGATGTCTGCCAAAAGAGGTTGAATGTGGGCTTCTGTCTCATGTGTGGCATTAGCTTGTAGATGAATTCATGGAGCACATCCTGATAGAGTCGTCCTGCGGTGCAGCGCATGGTTATCGATGGCTTGCCCAACGCACTCGTCTCATAATTCGTGTGCTGTCGTATATTCTCCATTACGGGTCGCAAATAGTAGTCCGTGGGTTGTCTTTTAAATCCTCTTCTATAGTACGTGAAGATGTCATACAAATCGCTATCCTCGCCATAGCTAGTGGTGTATCCTGCCGCCTTGAAGTCATCCCACAGCAAGTGACAGCCATCAAAGGTTTTGTTGCTCGCATAGCAGGTGCTATTGAGCTCCTTGGGGCTGAGGCCGCTCAGGAGGCGTATCAGATTCGGATAAGTGTTGCGACCAATGCGATTGTAGCCCCAGAATTCCGTGTGCGGCAGTTCTTTAATAAACTCTGCCACTTGTGGAAAGGAACGCAGATAATGCATGTGGGAAACGGAATCAATGCCCAGTATCAGGACAGAGAGTTTTCTATGGGAGCGCGGTTTTATCTTGGGTGGTGGTGGAGGCAGAAAAAAAAGCGTATCATTGTAGAAGATTTTGCCATTTGCTCGACACTTTACCCAAAAATACTGACGGCCACTGCCTACCTCAAGGTATCTCGATTGCGCGCTTAAATTGAAATATTTCTGCTCAATTTTCTTGTTGCGAAAATCATTCAGTAGCAAAAATTGCATATAAGTGCAGTTGACATCGCTAAGAGTTTTCACGCCGCAACAGGAGCGTAACTGAGTGTCGGTTTGATTGAGGAAAAAATAATTCTTGCCTGCAATTACCTCGGTTATCAGAAGCTGCACCCTGGGACACACAACGGCACTCAAACGATGTATAAAAGGTAGCACAGCAGCCGGAAAAGGTTTCATTGCTTCCATATGACAGCCAGGAGTATTCACAAAATCTTTTTCCTCTACTGCCACACTCTCTGTGGTATGTTCTTCATGTCTTGTGGCAATGCCAAGCTCCGAGTTTCTTGTAAAATGTTTCACCTCGCAGCAACCATAATTGATGCAGTTACTTTCCAGGTCCCACAGAATATACAAAGTGATGACAACCGCGATAAAAAGGTATTTTGCGTAGGGGCTATATAATATGATTGATTTTATATCCTTCATGGTAATGTCTTTAATGTTCGTTTGAGTATTTTTTGAAGTTTTTAAGGAAAAGTCTACTAAGATCTCTGAATTTTCTGTTTTCAAAAGGATTCGGAACCACAATTGGTAGCTTTCGAGCACAATCTCCGCCCCAAATTGATGCGCCATGCTTTTCATTTTTATTTTACGCTTTTCATTATTATTGAATTCTTTTTATTTATGTTTTTGTTTTTATATTTTTTTCGCTTTCATTCTGCGCTTCTTTTTTACTTGCATTATTTGATGCTACAATTTATAACTAATTTATTAACTTAGCGTTTACAAAAAATTATGTATCTGACGCACTTAGAATATACGTTGCAAATGTTAATCATTCTGATTTTTGTTTTTGTTGTTGTTGGTAAATGTTTTGTTATGTTGTGTGTGTTTTTTCTCATTAACTTAATTATTCTTGCTTGCTCCTTGCTTATCAGTTCAATATTCTCCGTATTGTATAATTTTTGAATTTGTTTTTGTTTTTAGCATTTTTTGTTTTGTTTTGTTTTGTTTGCGATAAATATTTTTTTTAATATGTATGTATGTTGTATATAAAATATAAAATGCTTATCAAATTTTGTTTAAATGGAGGCGCATGAATTGATTATGAACAAGGAGGGATGATGGATGGGTGGGGAGCGACGCCGAGTGAAAAGTTCCATTAAGGACCATTTCAAAAGGGATTTTAAATTAATTAAATAGATCCTCAATCACTTGGTTAATTGTCGAAAATTAAACTCACAAAAACTCTATCGAAATGGTTCTTATTTCTTCTTTTCTCTCTCGGTGTGGCTTAGTTTTGGCGAGCAGAGGTTTATTTTATATGTTTTATTTCTCAGTAATAAATAGGTCTTTAGAATTATAGTTACATAAACGTATTTTATGCATGTTTATTATGTGCCAATATGGCGCTTATTTAGCATACATTTCTCCTTTCATTATCATTATGTATATATAATCGGTATGCACGTAGCTTATTATTGTTAAGGTGTTGGTTTTTATGTTATGGTTTTTTGTTTCATTGATGGTTGAATCCTCGTTTTAGCGTTTCTTAATTACGATACGTTTCTTTTTTTAATTTTAAAGTAGTCATGCTCTAACTCTTAATACCGATAATGCCAATTGTTGCGATTTGACTAAGTGAAAACACAGGGGGTTTGGGGTGGTGGGCGAGTGAAAAACATAAACGATATACGATCTACTACCATCGGCCAAATAAATTTTCATTTAAAAGTCCTTTCCTTCATTAAAAACAAACATTCAACAAAAATTGATACCATAACGTAAACGCTGTTAATTTTAAAACAAATTTTTCATCAACTTTTCCTTCTCCTTTTTTCTCTTTATAATACTTTTGGCATTTTCTTTTTCGCTGCTAGAAAACAATTCCATTCCAGACGAGAGATCTCATGCCATCTGCTCGTCCTGCCCCACACCTCATCAGGAGGGGGGGGGAAAATTAAAACTAATTTCAGTTAGAATTTGCTGGACAGTCTTTATGCTGATTTTTGGAACCGGAGTGGCCCACTATGAGGCCTTGGCAAACTGTATGACAGAGCTCATCCTCATCATTTTGGAGTTGTTGTTGTTGCTGCTGGCATCCGCTGAGTTTGCTGCCGTTGTGGCGCCATCTCCTGCACCGGCCATCGCCGCCGACGGACTGCTGTTGTTGCCACCACTCTCCACCTGGCAGGCCCCCGCATCGCCCTTGTTCATGTAGTGCTTGCGCTTCCTCAGCGGCAGCGTCATCACATTCCGATCGGCCATCATCAGGGAATCGCTTTCGGGTGAGGAGCTGCGCTCTGGCGACTCTGTGCTAGAACGCAGACCAATAGCCGCCTCCACGCGGCGCACAATGTCGGGATTCGGAAGGGCAGATCTGTGACGGGAGGAGCAATCATTAGTATGCCGCTTTTTGGACGCATTTTATAGCTTCAATACTTACTCATACTTGGGCACTGGAGCGTAGCCTTTGTGCAGGCCATGGCGTGCGAGATCGCCACGCTTAAAGTGCTCAATGAGCACGGTGGCCTCGTGGGTGTCATCATAGTTGGCCGCCAGATCACTGACGTGCAGCGTGGGCTGTGGCGATGCCTGGGGCACGGCCTCTGTTGTCGGCGGCGTGGCAGCATGACCGCGACGCAGTTGCATCATTTGCCAGGCAGCGGCATGGACATCCTCATCGTTGACGTGGTGGTCCTCATCCTGTCGCGCAATACTGGCCGCCTCGAGTAGAGCTGGATTGATAGTCAGGGGCGGCTGTGCCTGTGGCTGTTGTTCCACTAAGCTGGGCGTGGCCTGGTAGGGCTCGTAGACCATAGGCTGGCTTTGACTCTGCTGCATGCTCAGATCCGTGGGCAGCTCCTCGTCCGCATAGCTGCTGAGCGCGGGCTGAGCACTGGAGACGCCACTGTCCCGACTGAGTGCATCCGTATCCAACGGTACAGCGGGCAGATATTGAACTGTGGATGGCGGCGGTGAAGCCAGACTGCTGGCCGATGGCGAGTACGTGGAACTGGGCGAACTGGGCGAGAGTGGGGCTGCAAGAACTGCCGCTCCAGCTGCAGCTGCAGCTGCGGCCGCTTTGACACCACGTGGCTGACGCGGTTGCCGCGGCTTCTTCACAGCTGGCGGCGAACTGGGCGGAGAATTATTGCTGCACTCCGAGTTGCTGGTGATGCCCTGCAAGGAGGACGACGACGACGATGCAGAGGAGGTGGAACCCACTGCCGTGGCTCCAGCTGCCGCCTCGGCCTCATCGTCGGGTATCTCATTGGCATGCCCCTTGATGTGGGCCTCCATTTCCTTCTTGTTCTTGAACGTCTCATCGCAAATGGTGCACTTGTAGCACTTGGATCCGTAGTGCTGCACGCGGTGCAGCTTCAGCACGTGATTGTAGCCAAAGTCACGGAAGCAAATGTCACAATGGTAGGGCTTCTCGCCCGTGTGCGTGCGTGAGTGCACCTTGAGCTGCTTGGAGCAGGTGAATCCTTTGCCGCAGCCCGGCTCCGGGCACTTGTACGGCTTCTCGCCCGTGTGCGTGCGCATGTGGATGACCAGTTGGCCGGATTGGATGAATGTCTTCTCACATACGGAGCACTTGTGCGGCCGTTCGCCCGTATGGATGCGCATGTGACGATGCAGTTTGCCTGAATGCTCAAACGCCCTGCCGCACACGTCACACTTGTACGGCCGCTCCTTGGTGTGGATGCGACGATGCACCTGCAGGTTCTCCTTGACGCTGAACAGCTTGTGGCAGAACTCGCACTCAAAAGGCCTTTCGCCCGTATGCGTGCGATAGTGACGGATCTAAAAGAGTGACAAAAAGGAAGCGTTTAGCTGGGAACATTCCTTGGGGGAGTCCAATCTGATAACTTACCAGCCTCGCGGGCACTGCGAATGTCTTCTGGCACACATTGCACTGATAGGGATCTGCGCCGGCGGCCACATTCGCCAGCGGCTTGATAGTCGGACTCTTGGGGATGCCCACCGGCAGACCCGCTTCGTTCAGTTCGATGGGAGACGATGTGGCGCCGTGCGGTGCTCCCCCCGCACCTAGAAGGGCCATTTCGGCATTCTTCGCATGCGACTTCGTGTGCGAAGTGTGAGCCGATTTGCTGCCGAACGTCATGCCGCACTGTTCGCACTTGAATTGCGGTTTCGTGCCATTCTGCTTGCGCGGCTGCGCAGTGGCAGCGCTGTAGCTAACAGTTGGCGTTGGTTCTGTCTTGATGCGCTGCGCTGTTGCTGCGGGTGCTGCTGTTGCTGCTGCTACAGAGGCCGTTGTTGTTGTTGTAACACTCTCATGCTGCTGCTGCTGTTGATGCTGCTGTAACGCCAGCTGATAGCTGTAGCTAACAAATTGCTGTTGTTCCTGCGTCTGTTGCTGCTGCACTTGCATTAGTCGCTGCTGCGGCGTTTGCAGCAGCTCGTAGTGCTCCTGCTGTCCACCCAGTGGCGCTGCACCCTCACCACCAGTCACCGTCAATGGAGGCGGCACCTGCAGGCAGAATTGCGTTTGGGCGGGTTGCTCCGTTTTTATGAGCAGCTGGTTAGCGGGATAATAGACCATATTGGTTGTGGCTGAATCTGAAGCGAGAGAGAAGAAAGATTAGCATTGGGGGTACTTGGTGGTTGGGATGACTTAATATTATAATTATTATTGATATAAAATAATTTAAATTTTTAAGGCAGAAAAATGTTTTCAAAACCTAAACTTTATTTAGCTTTATCTTCAGTTATCTCCATTCTATCTCCATCAACAATTCTGTGAAAGATTATGCATTTTTCTACACATTTGTCGAATTATGGTTCTTCCCCCTGCCTAACAGGTTCTTTCATTGATCCCAAGATCCTGCGTCACGAAAAAAACGCAACAAAAATGTGTAACAACGCATAAACCCCCCAAAGATACGATAAGTCTTCCATACTTATAATGAGGTGGTGGTTGGGAAAAGCCTCTAGAGCGCGGAGTAAGAGTGGTAAAGGGGTGAGGGGAAAACCAACCCTCTGACTTTCCTACTACGCACTTTTTCTTGTTTTTGCCGGCCGGGGTTTTGCCAGAGAGGGAAAGCGTAATGGGGAGGCATTTTCATTCAGAATTACGCATTATAGGAAAATTTCCCTTTTTAGGGATATTTAAGAAAAATCCTTGAAGCTTTTCAACCGGCTTTGCCATGCATGGCTCTCTCTTGCCTTTTGCCGCTCTCCCTCTCTCAGTTCTTGTTTACTGTTATGATAAAATAAACCCCCACACACACCCACACCACCCCCCGCACAGTAATGGAACAGTGTATACCAAAACAAAATGGCGTCGTGAGCGGGGGCCCTAAACTTTTCCGGCAAGCAACTTTTCTTGAACCTCCTGTCGCCGTTTACCTTTTGCATTCGTTTTCTTAGAGGAGCCAGCACCGTTGCCGGCCTTTGGTTTGGACTTGGATATATCCACCAGTTCAGTGCCCGATTTGTGGAGTGCATCCTTAATCCATATCTGCTTGGTGGCCCAAGTTTTAGCATCATTCTTGCTTTCAGTCATCGTTGAAGTTGAAGTCTTATTTGTGTAGATTTTTTATTTCTAAAGTCCATTCATTGCTCGCTGAGGAAAAGTGTAAATCTTTTCCAATTTCAGTTTCAGTTCTTATCAGATTTTTGTTGTACGTTATGAGATCTTTTCGTTTATATTTTGATAAAGTCCGAATACAATTTTGTTCATTTGGGTTAATAAAAATCAGACTTTAGCAGCATTTTAGTCAGTTTTGTGTTTCCATCAGTCCTTGAGTTTTTTTTTAGTTTATACTTAGTTTTAGGATAATTTTAATCAGTTTATTTAGCTAGACGAAAAGTCATTTATTTGATTATAGTGTAGGGATTATGATTTGGGGATTATTATGCATTATTATTTATTTATTTTACTTTATTTTTCATTATTCGTTTTTCATTGATCTATTTTTATTTCTTTTAAACAAGAATCTTCATTTGTCGGGTAATTTTTTCTTTGATTAAATTCTTTTTAATGATTTTGATGATTTTCTTCAAGTCTTTGGACTGTTGCACGGGATAATTGTGCTGATAGGCCTGAATATTCTGGGAATGATGTGGAGGCTGCTGCTGGGTATGATGATACTGGTGGTGTCCGCCCTGACCCGTACTCTTATTCATGCGCATTTTTCTAAACGATCTCAAGATATCGTTCATTGAGAAATCAGTCATTTTTGTGATACACACACACACGCAACACTGCCACTGGGAATTGGATCTCAGATGGAGTCGAAAACCGGGAAGGGGAACTACGAGTATTCTTCACATTGCCGCACACTCATGAAGTTCTAGGTCTGATGGTGCAACGGAGACTGGTGGGTGAGTGGCCGAAAAATCTGCCTCGAACCCCCAAAAACATAAACCCGAAAACGGGAAAAACCAACCACCAAAAAAGAAGCCAGCAAGAAAATGTTCCCATTTGATCTGAAAATTCCCTTCAAATTGGAAAATTGCTCGTTTGAGTGTTTTCAATGTTCGAGGGACATTTTTGAGTGTCCGTTTGAGTGTGTTGTAAGGGAATTTTCTGGTTGGAAAACAATTTCCCTATGATACGATGGTATAGGGAAATGAGTGAGTCATTCTAAAATAAATCAAACTCTTATCTCAGCTTATTTCGCAATCTGTCTTAGTCATGATAACTCTGACGCTTCTAATCTATATAATTCCGGTATCTAAAAGCAACATTCCCAAACTAAAATAATAAATAAAACCAAAAATAGCCAAAGCCATGCGGATAAAATTGTTGCAGTCGTTTTATGTATAAAGATTCGATGCTAGGATTTGGTTATATATTGGCATCGTCTGCCTTGCACAATATCGTTTGAAGTGTGGGATTTTTTTGACATCATAAAAGTCTATGATGATCGTAAAGGAGAGGCTAATTTCCGATAATATAGATAGCATCATTGAGTACTTTTATTATTTTGTTGTTTATGAATGGTATTTACAGCGTTTCAAAGTTCATTTATAGAACAAAAAGCTGGGTATTATTTGAGAATTATTGGGTCCAAAACAAATCAGTGATTCAAAATTACTTTCCACAATCTTCTACTTGTACTTTCTGCCAGGGATAACCCACCATATCTGGGGATTATCTGTCCTATTCCTATTCCTACGCCTCACTTTACTTTCACTGTAGATCCCACAACTAATAACTCATTTGTGTGATCGTTCTCCCCAGCTCATAGATCTCTCTCCACACCAAAATATCTACCTATAGAAAGCCAACGACCAAGTTCCACCTTCGACAACTTAAAAAATATGAGAAACCCTCCCAAAAAAACACGAAAAAGCCAACGAAGAACGAGCAGCAAATGTTCAGAAAAAACAGACAAGTTCAAAAAACTTTTGTCAGCTTTTTTCTGTTGTTGTTTATTCGGGCTGTACGGTAAAACTAGCGCAAAAGTTCATTAACATTCGACACAAAAAATAAACTATTTCTGTGTGGGTATACACGAGTATCTGTGTGAGGGGAAACGATCGCACTCCGCACTCTGTTTCTCTCTCTATAGTTTCTGAAGGTAAAACACCGAAAATGTTTCAGAGGAAGAATACGTTTATCTATTATGAGAGGTTGAAAGCAAAGCAAAGCAAATCCCCCGTGCACTGTGCACGGTCAATGATCGGACGGTTGGATCGTTGTTGCCGAGCAGAGATGCTAGAGAAAGAGAGAATTGGAGAGCTCTCCCTCTTCTACATGTATGTATCTCATACTATCTCCACTACCCATATTGACCAAGTCGAAGAGCCGTTATTTTGTTGGGATAGCTCTGAAATGGAGCGGCTTTTGAAACTGGTCTTGGGTTGGTGTTCTTCGAGGTAGATAGTTTTAGGTGTAAGGCGTAAGCAGTAGGGTTTTCGTTGATCATGTTTGGATAGATCAGTAAAGTTGCTTGACGGGGAGGAACGGCCTTATTAGAAATAGTTGATAATAGTTGAAAAATAAGTATTTCAGTTGAAATATGCCATATGTATAGGGGATTACTTTTGTAACCAGTTCCCCACAATCCGCTGTATACTTGGGATTAATATACATATATTTTGCATGGGTAGTTACCATAAAATACTAAAGAAATTTACTTACAAATTTCCAAAATATTCCATAATTCAATGAAACGTTCAATTAAATAAGTAACACAAATTCCAAATATTTATAGATTATTGAATCATAAAGCCAAACTAATTATGCACCTTAGAACCTTAATCAGTACTAATCTTTCCCCCCCCGTCGGTGACTTTTTATAAGCCACCCAAAATCCACTTAAGCTTCCATAAACAGGGGACCCCCCACTCTTGCGTTGCACCTAAATCTACAGACTCCCCGCGCTCTCCAGGCTCCTCTACTCTAGTCTACCATTTTGTAGGTGTCTGATATGGTTTGGGGGTTTGAGTCTGGGGTCTCTGACTGGGACTGCGTTTGGTGTTCTTTTTTTTGGGTTTCTTCTTTCGTGGACTTTTGATGGGGTCAATGAACATTTAAATATAAGCAAATTGTAAGCTTTTTCATTCTCTCTCTTTTTTCACGATTTTGTTTGTGTATTTATTTCTGTGTATTTGCTCTGCTCCCTGCATATCCATTACAGCCTGTTATTTGTATCTCTTTTCACTAGCTTTCAGTTTAATAAACAGAGTTCGATGTGCCCACGAGATAAGATAGAACTAGAGAGGCAAAGGGTACTCCATTTCAGTGCGATTCTTGGTTTGGGAAATCTCAATCTGAATATACTCAATGAATATTCTGCCACTATTTACTAAAGGTACCTCTTTAAAGGGGAAGAAACTAACGGCAGCGATAAGATAATGATAGTGGCTAAAGGGGCGTAACTCGGAAATTCCCATGGCGTTGACATTTATAAGGAAACACTGTGGAAAATCCCCCTGCTAATGGTGTTTCCTAGGAATATTTCAGGGCGAACTATCAAAACAATAAACAAAGGCTATCTTTAGCAGGCAAAAGCTTTTTTGTACCCATTCGGAATGGTTCCTAAGATATTTTTATGTTCCTTTTTGGATTGCAAATTCCCTTCCCAAAGCTGCAAAAATATAAAATATTTAAATTGGCATATTTTCGTTTTTTGTTCAAAGGATTATTCTTAAAAATACAATTTTATTTTGGGTATACGTATATACTTACATACATACTTATGTGTGTACATACAAACATACATATGTACATTTATACTATGTACATATTTTTATTTATATTGCGAAGGTCTAGACACGAAGTCTGACTTTGAGCTGCGCTGCCGCTGCCGCTGCCTCTGCCACCTTCAGGCAGCGACGCAGCTGTTAGGCCACGCATATTTTGCGTGGGGCTACAGCGGTTGGCCTAGGTCAAAAAGCAAGCAAGCAAGCAGGCAGCAGCAGCGACTCGACTCGGGCGAGTAATCAGCGAGTAGAGAACACAATCAAACTGTAAATGACGCAGCACAGTAGCAGGAGAGGGATGGGGACGCTCGTGCAAATAACAAGAATGAATAAAGACAGATCTGGCTATTGTGGCGTAATAGTCTTCCTACATTTCGATATCTTGCGAAATTTAATATTTTCCATGAAAACAACAAATTTGGCAGGACAAATTTAAGGCTCTTACAACAACCAACCAACCCCCAATGACAAGTTTTCACTTTTTTTAGCACGAAAATGGCGCATCAGGCAACCTTCCCTTTCGTTTGACATTCCTCCCTCCCCCAGGCAGACAGGCGATGCCCACCCACGGCTGCGCTGCCGTGCTGCTGCAACAACATGCTTACTCATGGCACAAACCAGAAAAACAGAGAGAGAGAATGAGTATGTATGTATGTATTTGGATGAGATTTGGAGAGAAGGAGCTCTCCCGCTGTTGCCAGCACGCGCGTTGCTGTCTCTGACGTTGAAAACTTATGCACGGCCTCCTTATGGCAACGCCATGCTGAGAGCTGTTTAATGCGCGTGTCGAAAACATTTTCACGCCCTCCACGTGTAGTTCAAGTTCATGACAACAACGAAGCGACGCGAGGCGAGGCGAGGCGAGAGTGTGTGGTGGTAGTATGAGCGTGCGAATGGCGACATTGAGAGTGTGAGAGTGCAGCAAAAGCTTGACGCTATCGCTGACGTTAGCTGTGCAGTTGACGCAAGCAGAGGAGCAGTGCAGTCAAGCCTCTGTGTGTGTGAGTGCATGCAGCACAAGCAAGGCATTAATGTTAGTGTGTGAGTGCAGGGAGCACTAGGATTCTATGTCTAAGTGCACGCTTTTTGCATTGCATACTTTTTTTAAGCCATTTTTTAAACACTATTTAATTTATATAATTATGAAATTTAAATGCGAGTGTTCTCATGTTTTGGTTGCAATATTCTAGAATATTCTCCACTAAAATTCTCCAAAGTAAAAGTACTGTCCTCAACAGAAAAACGACGAAAAAGCAGCAGCGGGGCAGCAGCAACCTCATTCCAACATTTGCCATACAAAAGGGTCAACGAACTACTCGTTCAACACCAACAGAAAGAAAAAAGCTCAACGATATTTTGTTCGAAAAATGTAAAGAAAAGAAATCCGAAAACAAATTGAGCATGTGTTTGCGTGTGTAAGAGGGAGAGAGAACGAACATTTTGTCGAAATTCATTTAAGCTGCTGCTTGATGGGGGGGGAAGAGAAGAAACAGGCGATCGTGCCTGGAGCAGAGGGCAGTAGCAACAACCACAGTCAATACATACAATTTAGTGAAACACCCAACAAATAAATACAATAAAAGTGCTTGTACATTCGAGTAGAAACCCCAAAAATTCCAACAGGCAGAAGATACAGTCGCAAAGAATAAAAGTAGAAACATTG